TAAAAAACTGAAATGCCAAAACAACAGGCTGTAATACACTGTCTGCATGAATACAAGCATTACAAAATTAACTAGGAAAGCAATTTCTGAAGAAATTTAATTCATGCTGGAAGTTTGAGTCCATACAAGATGTCAAAAGTAGTAGAAAACCCTCAATTACATTTCCTCAAATCATCATGAAAAAGGACAATGATACGACATGGCTTAAATATGACGCTAAAGTCAATGTTTCCTCTTTCTTTCTTTTTTTTTAATTTTAATTGCTGCATCTTTTAGTTGCCAGTCCTGTTCAACAAGTCAACAAAGGGGTTGTGAACGCCCGACCACAACTTCTTCATTTAAATAGAAGAACCAAAGCCCTGAGGGTTTGAATTGGCTCGAGGCGAGTAAACCAAGCTGTGTGGTGTTGTGACAGCACAATTTAATGTTAATCAACACATTACAAACTTTACAGTCTTGAACCTAAACAAAAATTAACAGTTAGATTCAATAAATATGGAATTTAATGCAAATCGTGAATTATACTGCCAGATGTTCCTGTTGTTTTGTTAAAGCTCCTATTGCATTCTGCCAGCCAGTGTCAAGTGTCAAGGAGGGTGGAGGCCCTCCCCTTATAAAAGGGCTTGACTCTACACTGCCAGTCATTCAAAAACCTCTTCTCGTTATTTAATTTTTTTTATTTATTTCATTTATTTAAAAGTGACCATGTACAGTTTAAACATAAATGTCTCCATTCGATGCACTGTACCAGATTGTAGCTTAAGCTAATTTGCATCTGCAGTCCCTTGGCAGGTCAAACAAGGACAAGACAACAACACAGTAAAAGGAAAAGACATAATACAGAGATATACCACAAAAAACATACAAGACACCCAATACAACGCTACACACAAATAGCACATCAAAAATTAATGTGTCAATAAAATCAAGTCATAAAAGACCACAAGAATTGAGGTCAGTGTGTGCAGTGTTGTGCAGTTTTTAAAAGACTTTTCAAGTTGGCTTTAAAAGTGCTAATAGTGCTGCAGCTCCTCACAATTTCAGGCAGGGTGTTCCACTGGTGTGTTGCTTTTACAGAGACGGTTGATTGACCAAAAGTAGTGCGTAAGTAATTTGAGAGGTACCGCTCATACTAGTCTGTCACCAAACAGTAGTCTGAGCTGCTGACTGTGGAGAGTAGCAATACTTTCAGCAGCTAGCCAAACCAAGTGGCAACACTCCGAGGTAGCAATACCCAACGAAAGTAGAAACACTTTCCTCAAACTACCGTTAGCTTCACTGGTCTAACGCATCACAGAGTAGCAATACTCCCACTGTGTAACCCGCTAACCCCTAGACATACCAGGCTAGCAATAGCACACAGCGTAACTTTAGCTCTACAGCTAATTATCCCTGCTAGTGACCATGGCTGCCGCTTTTGTCCCTGGCAAGTTTTGATGGCAGATAACTGCACCATCACTCATTTTGATGCTGGCATATGTAGGCAGATAGGGAAAAAAAGACAGTCCAGCAGACTCCATTGTTCACAATACTCTTATAGCAGTGAGTTGGCAAAGCAGTGTAACATAGCTGAGCATTTGGTGTTTTAAATTGCTATTGTGAAAAAGTTGTTCCTCTGTGAAATATAAAACCTCCGGTACATGTCTATTTGATGATCAAATTGTACATTTTACTAAATGTTTTTATCTGAACCAAATCCTAATGTTAAAATAAAAAAATCATATACTAGAAATTTGAACTGTGTCACCACCTTGATGTATTATGTATAACTGTAAATGTGATTGTTTGAAGACAATGGAACCTGTTTTTCATTATTGTTTAAAGGATGTTTGACATACTTAAGTTAGACGAGTAACATGAACTTGGTTGTTTTAAGGCAATCGGTTTGCATGGTTTTACCAAGTAAATGATTTTAGTGTTCAAGTAAATACAACTGAGAAATGTTAAGTTGCAGGAAATGTCACATTAGTTAGCCCGACTTAAATAAATGTGTTGCTTGGAATACACACAAAGTATATTTCACTTGAAATTATTTAGTTGTTTGAAATAGTAATTCTGAGTAGGCTTTACCAAGTCAAGAGTACATCTTAAGTAAAGTTTCAAGTACTCCACTCATTTTTTTTAGTTACTTAAACTCAAGTGTAAGTGTACTACACTAAAAAAACATTTGTTAGTACAACATACAATACCTATTCAACAATACTTGAATGAAACGAGTACCGTTACATGCTTTTTTCAATGCAATCGGTTTGCATGCTTTTTTTAAGTAAGGTTAACTAATTCGATTTTACAATGTAGAATTGCCATAATTATAAGGCTGTTTGATCACCACTGACAAGTACAAAATTGCTTTGTCAAAGTCAGAATTTCTTATTTCAAGCATCCTAACCTTTTCATCAACCAAATGGAATTGATTGTTTTATTGTCAATCTTACAACACAGCACAGCAATTATGAATTCCTAGACAAAATACAGTACAGAGCAAAGACAGTACTTAACAAAGTCAAACTATTGCATTAAGAACAAACTTTCTCCTCGGCCTGTCTCAACCTTTAGCAAGCTAAAGTGAGTGAGCACTGTGCTAACATCTCATTTGGAATATAAAGGTTGCCATTACATTCATCTGGCCAAGATGTGGTTATGAACATAAGAAGAAATGCCATGTGATAATTCTGTACATCTAAATGGACTCTTAATACATTTGATCTAACAGACATTTAAAACAACCTCCAATAAACGCAGCCAGTATTATACCAAGATTCAGATGATTTACTGTATTTAGGTTGCTATCTTTATAATTACGTATTTTCACAGCCGTATACTTCAACAGTTTAACTACAAAAATGGTTAGGGTTAACCCTAACCCTTTTATTTTTAGATGGAGCCATTATTTTACTTGAAATGAGAGAACATTTAATTATGTATTTCTATGTATTATTTATAATCCATCCAGTTAAATTGGAAAACTGAGAATACTAATTGTTAAAATATAATTGATGTGTACTTTCTTTATTTGATTTGACAGTTGTTGACTACACAGAGACGTTGTTACTATGGCACTAAATAGCGCAAATTAGATATTGCCTCAGAGCTGTCCAGGTGTCTTCTGTGGAGTTGTTGAAAACAGTAGGCGCAGGTTAAATTCAATTCAATTTATTTTTGTATAGCCCAAAATCACGAATCACAAATTTGCCTCAGAGGGCTTTACAATCTGTACACATACATCGGAACAGGAAAAACTCCCCCAAAAACCCCTTTAACGGGGAGAAAAGAGGAAGAGACCTTAGGGAGAGCAACAGAGGGATCCCTCTCCCAGGATGGACAGAAGTGCAATAGATGTCATGTGTACAGAATGAATAACATTTACAGAGTTACAACACATTCAATGCATATGACATAACCACGGCAGGAGGCAAGACCAGGGTCCAGGTATCACCAGGATCCACGGGAACCTGCGAGGTGGGAAAGCACAGAGACTCCGGAGAAGGAGCAAAGTCAGCAATGTGCGTTAATGGTATTGGTACCTGCGAGGAGAGGACGCACAAAGAGTGAGTGAATGAGAGCATAAAAACACTGTCCTAATGTAGGAGTTTAGCGTAAATCCCAACATTTTACATAGTTAGTTAATTATTTTATTATTTAACTGTATGATTATAAATACTATATTTCAAAATATCCCTCCTATAAGCAAAGCTCTCTAAGTTTTACTACTTAACTCTCAGTAAATAATCAATGTTAACAATTTGATATTCAAGGAGGGATTTGGTAATCCTTAAATCATCATGGTGGCACCAAACATCCTCAGCCAAATTACAAAAAGTGCTAATGGACAGAATCTATTCTGAATCCAATGTTACAGGTCAGATATGCTACTGGTTTACACGACAGGAGTTTGGTGAGAGTATATTACCCCATCATCCTACATCAGACACCGGAAGTACCGCTAACGCAGGTGAGAGATGCTCCTCAGCTGGGGGTCTCAGCAGAGGAGGAAGGGGATCCAGAGGAGGAACGAGTGAGAAACCTTTTTGGCAGTTTTGTGTAGTATCGTGAAGCTTTCTTTCTATTTGATAAAATATCAAAGTTTTGTGCAACACTTTCCTGATTTGAAATGGTTTTTAGTCTCGTGTTTGCAATAAAAGTTAAACAGGCCTGCATGATATTATGAAATATGCAATATTTACATCAGCTGCACTGCGTAGTATGTAGATGGTATTGTGCAACATGTTGCAGTCAAATAATTGAAAATGCTTTGTCAAAAAATCCTTTTGCATATTTAAATATTAAATAAATATTAAATATTTAGTCAGGGCCTGAGAGTTTCCCCAAAACTAGAAAAAGCCTTTCCAAGGAGTCTTTAAGGGAGACTACATTTCCTCAAGTTTGAAACACTATATAGAACTTCTCTAATTCATCTATCGTGAACTTCATAAAGATGAGACGTTGAGCCAATAAAGTTGTGAAAGACGGATTCCTTTGCAGTGATGTGGGGAGGTTTGCTTCAGGTGGAAAGCTAAATATTGTTGTGAATGGGTCAGAAATATAAAAAAAACTTCATTTTGTTGTTGTAGGCCAAGTGTCCACTGTGGCCTCATGTATTTTTAACCACATTTATGTAACATTTCATACCAGTCATAACGAGTTGACGTATTCATTAGCTCATTTATTTTATTACATTATTACTTGCAGACACTCAGACAAGATGGTGGCAGGTAGAAGTACGAAGTTCTCTTTGGGGACTGTAAGGGTGACTTTACATCCTAACCCTGCCTAGCGTCAAACCCTTTTATAAGGGGAGGGCCTCCACCCTCACTGGCACTGAATTGCTTAGTTCCAGCCAATCCTGGCTGGCAGAATGCAATAGGAGCTTCTGGTGAGGTCATACCGTAGGCGTTCCCAATGTGAGACACTCACTCATGTTACTCAGAGAACCGGGGTTACACAAGTAACTTAAAGTTCTGAGCAATATATTAGGTGACCATATCAAACAGAGGAGCAGGTTGGTGGAGCCCATGTCCAGGATGCGTTACATCTTAGACAGGTTTATTCAAACGTTTGACAGGAAACATGAGTGACGTACAACTTCTTTAAGACCAATTGTCTCTTGACAAAATCACCAGGAGAGTACATGAGCACAGTGTTCAGATCAGAAAAGCTGATGTATTGCATTTCGTGCAGGCAGTTTTTTCAGCCTGTTTAGTTATGATAGGAAAAAAAGCACATATTATACAATAACAAAAAACAAGAAAACACACTTGAGAAACAACTCCTATACAGCGGGAAAAGGCTGCTCTTGTTTTCTTATCCTTACCAAACCTTGCAAATGTTCACAAAAGTGATGAGCATCTTTCACCTTTGTTTGTTAAGTAAAAGCACTTTAAACAATTTGCAAATTAATTGATAACGCTTCTAAAAGCAAGATTATTTTATGGTTTTCCTCAAATCTGGCAACTCCCATCCTGAGAACTTCGCAGAATAAGGCAAAGTGCGTATTTGCCGTGGAATCACCTCAGAAACTCCTGACCTCTCTGCTTGAGGAGCTCTGCCGCTGAGATATTGTGCTGTTAATTAGAGGTGCCCTGATATGACCGACAGTATACCGGAGTGCTCAAAAGTATCAAAGACCAATGAGTGTGATTTTTGGCATTTGGTAAGTTATATTCATTCTCAAGCACATTCTGGGAAAACATTCTTTAGATCCACATTATTAAATTGCCATCCTCTCAAACATTTTATAACAAGAAAAATTAAATATAATCTTTATTTCACAAGTGTGCTGGTATTATTATTTAGTATTGGGCCAAAACCTGGATCATAACAATAGACAACTAACATAGTATTCATACCTATAAATGAATAATTTTTGAGCTGAGCGGATTAAAAAGGCAAGAACAAATACTGCAGATGGTGGGAAAGAAACGCAGCATCTGTGAGGGAATATAAGGGGCTAACGGTCAAACTATTTAGATTGCTGCTAGAATGGAAGTGAGAGGCTCCAGGCAAAAAAGAAGGATGCAAGTCGGTTGCTGAGGGTTCGAGGTCACGAGCAGGTAGGGAAGTCAGCGAAGGTCGCTCTCATCGTCTTGTATGGTTTTCTTGATGCGGAGAAGCATGGTGGTGAGCCACTGGTCCAACCGTGAAATGGTGTCGAATTCCTTCACCTGCAAATGAGTAGCAAATATTAACACAATTCCCCACACCCAATACGTTACCTATATTTACAGCCAGGGATATAAGTATTTGGACTGTGACACAATTTTTCTTATTTTGTCTCTTTATGCAACTCCAATGGACTTGAAATGAAGCAGTCAATGTGTGGACTTTCAGCTTTAATTCAATGGATACAACAATAATATCACATTACCCGTTTAGGAATTACAGCCATTGTTACACAGCCTCCCACATTTATTTATATGTACACTGCATGCACAATTATTAGGCAAGTTGTATTTTTGAGGACTCATTTTAGTTCATCTTCAACCCGAAAAGGTCCAACTAGCTGGTATTATTAAAGATGAGCTAGTTTTTAGAAGACACTTTCTTCAAGCAGTGGTACAGGAAAAAGTCTGTATCTTTCAAGAAGACCATGATTTTTATGCAGACATTGCTCCATCGCATGCATCGAAGTACTCCCCTGCGTGGCTAGCCAGTAAAGGCCTTAAAGATGAAAGAATAATGACATGGCCCCCTTCTTCACCTGACCTAAACCCTATGGAGAACTTGTGGGCCCTTCTTCAACGGGAGATTTACGGTGAAGGAAAACAGTCCGCCTCTCTGAACAGTGTCTGGGAGGCTGTGGTCGATCGTCAACAGATCAAGAAAGTGACAGAATCCATGAATGAAGGCTTTTTACTGTTATTGATAAGAAGGGGGTGGGGGGGGGGGGGGGGGGCTATATTGGTCACTGATTTCTTTTTTGAAAAGTCAGAAATATTTATTTGTAAATTTTGAGTTGTTTATTATTATTCTCACTTTAACAGATGCAAATAAACAAGTGAGATGGGAACATTTTCGTTTTTCATTTAGTTGCATAATAATCGTGCACACATAGATATTCTCCTAAGAAAGCCAAAGCCTCACTTTTACTTTCTTAAATATTCAGGTTTATTAACATTTTGGATTGACCGAGAGCACTGTAGTTATTAAATAATAAAATGAATCCTCAAAAATACAACTTGCTTAATAATTGTGCACGCAGTGTATGTATGCGTGTGTGTATGTCTATAGACCCAGAAACACTGTAGGACACTGGTGTCAATCCAGGATTTTCTAACAAACTGCTGCAGAAACTCTTATATTCTGCTGAAAGGAAACGGTCCGCTCACCGCGTCAGTATAGGCCTCCACGTTCTGTTCTTCATAGGCATCTAGAAGTTTCTGGTTAGATAAAAACAATAATGCTGTACATCAGAAAGGCTGCCTATAGACGGAAATACACCCCGGGGGTGAAAAAAACAACACTGAGATGCCAAAACAACCGGCTATAATACACTGTCTGCATGACTGTTGGCATTACAAAATAAACGATTACTTCTAGAGTTTTTAAACAGCAGCATGGCTTTCTAACTCCAGTCACAATTGTTGGGAGCAGGCTTAAACTGTGCTGGTGCTTTTGTAATATTATGCTGGGGGGTGAAATGGTTTTGGAGGAACATTTAAGCATGAGGCTTAAAACAATCCAACTTTCGTTTTCCGTTACTAGCACGTAAAAGTTAGCAAGTCATCGACAGTTCTCGTCGAAGACAAAAGAGACCAGAGCAGGAGGGAAGCGGTCGTTAAGTTGTAAGATCTATCTCAGTAGTCTGTCGAGTTAAACTGCTCTCCAGCCGCCTCGTCCCTCGATATTTAGAGGATCATTCAATGTTGGTTTTGTTTGTTTGTGGATTTGAACTCTTAAACAACACCAAAGCATACCTTCAACAGCTTGCATTCCCGCGAGTCTGAAAAGGCCGGAAACATCTCTTCATACTTCTGCACAGCAAGCTGGGCGACAAGAGGGTGAATGTTAGGACAGAGGCTCGTGTTACACTTGCTGTACATGGACACAAGTGTAAGTGTTACAGCCTTACTTTTGCATTCAGCATGTCCACACAGAAGTGACAGAGCGCCGCCTTGAAGAAGTGATCCTTGGCACTGTATTTCAGGAGTGTACTGTCCATCGCGTGGGTTCCAACCTACAAATCACAAAGAGTACAATTCATGTTGGTTTTGTTACTACAAGCGACTGAACAACATGTTGGTTTGAAGGCTGCTGGTGAGCATTATCCCACCTGTTCATAGATCTCAATGGCTTTCGGGTACTGCTCCAGCTGAGCCGCGTAGGTTGCTACTTTCAGGAGGCACTTGTTTGCTGAACTGAAAAGGAAAAATCGAGAAGCTTCTCAGCACACATGTATTCACAGACATTAAGGGTCAAAGACCAGAAAGTAAGTAAATGCACAATGATAAAAAAAAAAAAAAAGGTTTAAAAAGGAAAGAAATTGCATTTATATTTAAAATAAAGCCTATAAAACTGAGAAAATGTTGCTCATCTAAAATAGTCACCTGGTAGATTCTTCCCCTTTGTAATAGTCTGCTGCCTGTTCATAATGAGCAATGGCCTGCAATGGAAATAAGGTAAACAGAGCTTTACGCAAGTGAATACAACAGTTTAAAACATTAGTAGCTGTTTAATTTGAAGCAAGAATCTGCCTTTAAATGGACTGGATACGTAAAATAATAAACATGAAACACAGATATCGGACCTTGTCGATGTCAACCATCTCAGTCTCGTATATTTCAGCAATGGTGATGTGATGTTTGGCTGCGATGGTGAAGCGCCCCTATAACAAAAGGAAAAAATATGAGAGAGGGGATCAACAAGGGGAGCTTCATGTTACATAAATACTTTTTTTTTCCACATGTAATAAATTAAAGAAAGAGTTCCCCGTTAGTCCACTCACCATATCAGTGTATATCTCAATAGCTCGATTGAGGCAGTTTATGGCCTCTGTTGAGAAATATAAGGTCATTATCATATTCAGACACATTAACAAAAGGACAAAATGAAGATTGAACTAAAATTAGAAGCAACCAGATGTGAGAAGTGCAAGGTTCAAGTCCATTTTTACAATGTTCCTGTGCCTCAAAAATGGGGACCACTGGGCTTGATGTCATTATTTCTTTATGGTATTTTCTCTGGTGCAAAGCGTTCAATTGTCCACAATCCCATGTTCTAACTGCACAGTGGTTGAACTCTTCACCTGGACGATCTTAATGACATCAGATGACACTGACTTTAAGTACATGTGGAACTGGAACTGGTAGAGCAGCTCGTAAAGGAAGTGTGTACATCCTTCCGAGGGTAATGACGAGTAATGATCACCTTGTGGATCTGCTTTTTTGAAGGCGTTTCCAGCATCTATGAAGTTAGTTGCCGCATCGTGTTTGCTCTGCATCTGGAGGTGCAGGCGAGCCGCCTGGGAGAATGCGTTTCCTGCGGCTGAAAAGAAAATGTTGCATGTTAAGAAGGGTTGAAAGTCTGCAAAGATCGAACCAAGTAAAAGGGCAACCATTGAGCCCCTTCATCCAACCTGCACTCGTTATTCTTACCACACCAATTTTTGGCCATTTTGTACATGTTGGCTGCCCTCACATACATGTCACAGGCCTCTTCCGTCTTGGAGGAACCCCTGTGTGTGAAAGCACACATGCTCAGTCAAACAAGACTCATACAGGCAATTTCTGGGTGACAAATATCAAGTCCCATAAAAGTTAATAACTAGATATTAATAATGTCAAGATATTTTGGTCATGACAGAGAGGTACAGTCCAAAGAAGTTCAGAAAGTAAGGTTTGTATCATATATTATTTTAAACAATCTAATTTAACTTCCAGTTGTGTTAAATTCTGTTGTATAAATTAATAATTCTGAGCAATGCATAACAGTGAAACGTGAACATCACTAAATATGGCTCATTACTGTTAGTATATTATTATGTTATGCTTTTATTGTTATTCCATTGCACCTTATACTATATCATACTATCTTAGCTTTTAAGTTATTCTGTTTTACGTTATATTTCAATATCTATACAGAGAATAACCATTGCTTAATCAGATTATGATTATATATATATATATATACACACACACACACACACACACACACACATATATATATATACACATATACATATATACACATATATATATACACATATACATATATACACATATATATACACATACATATATACACATATACATATATACACACACATATATACATACACATACACATATATACATACACATACACATATATACATACATATATATATATACACATACATACATATATATATATACACACATACACATATATATATATACACATACATACATATATATATATACATACACACATACATATATATACACATACATACATATATATATA